TACAGTATTATGAAAACAAAAGCTTTACAGATTGATAATCCCTTCTTTATTAGGTGAACCACCTTAGCAAAATACTAAAATATTAACAATAACAATTTCTGTACATTGTTCTAGTTTGAAATTAGTTTAAATCATTAATTGACATTAACTTGAGAATCATTAAAAACTTTGAAATATCTTATATTAGTTTAAGAGTTTTCAATAATCTTTATCCACAATATCATACTGTAGTGAGCTTTGAACTTTCAAATGTGATAACACAAAATAAAAGTTTGTATTAACATGTTGTAATGAACACGTTTAAATTTCTTACTTGAGTAGTTAGCTCGTGATACTTACTTACTTACTTACTTACTTACTTACTTACTTACTTACTTACTTACTTACTTACTTACTTACTTACTTACTTACTTACTTACTTACTTACTTACTTACTTACTTACTTACTTACTTACTTACTTACTTACTTACTTACTTACTTACTTACTTACTTACTTACTTACTTACTTACTTACTTACTTACTTACTTACTTACTTACTTACTTACTTACTTACTTACTTACTTACTTACTTACTTACTTACTTACTTACTTACTTACTTACTTACTTACTTACTTACTTACTTACTTACTTACTTACTTACTTACTTACTTACTTACTTACTTACTTACTTACTTACTTACTTACTTACTTACTTACTTACTTACTTACTTACTTACGCCTGTTACTCCCAGTGGATCATAGGCTGCCGACCTGTATTCTCCAACCCACTCTGTCCTAGGCGTTCCTTTCTAGTTCTAGTTGAAAAATTGTAATACTTTAAAATATATAATTTTAAAAAATAGTAAAAATGAGCAAGGACTGAAAAGTAGTTGAGTGTGTTAAAGTAAATCAGTGATTGTTAATTCATCTACTGAAGGTAAAATTTTTTTAAAAAAACCCACTATTAACATCATACACTCCTAAAAGTTCAAATAACATATACTTTATATAAAGATAATGATCTATAAATATTCATATTAAGCTTTGTGAAAATACGGATATCATACAAATGATATGTTGTTTCTAAGCCGATTTATGAATCTGAACAAAATTAAATTAGTATAAGAAGTGGTTTTGTGGCAATTTTAGTAATTTCAATAGATGAGATCATGAGTCAATGTATATCCTGGAGTTCTAGTGAAAAGCAGTGACCAGTGGAGTTCAACCGGGTCAGTTGTGAGATAGTAACTCACTGATGACAATGGTGGATGTGTCGCTTAATTTCATGGATTAGTTGAAGTTAAACATTAACACCGATGAATGCCGCCTCACTGGTCTAGTAGCTAAGTGCTCGCGCGCGAGACCAGTAGGTCGTGGGTTCAAATCTCGCGGGGTGTGGGATCGTGGATGCGTAGTGCTGAGGAGCCCACCCCATATTTGTACTAGATATCTTGATTTACTTATTGTAATCAATTGTAAAGACAAGAAATTGTCTCAATCAAAATTAGTTTAAAATAATTAATTTTTATCAGGATAAGGATTTGTGGAGATGGTAGTAATTTGAATAGTTGAATTCATGATTTGATCTAAACTAGACCATCAATGAAGAATCGGAAGCACTAAACGGACTCCTCAGTAGTCTAGAGGTTAAGGACCTGGGTTCCGCGTCTCGCTTGCCGGATCGTGGATGAGCAAGTTTGGGTCGTCCCATATTAGAACGAAACTGCCATCCAGTACATTCAGGTTTTCCATGGTGGTCTATCTTCAATTGACTCATGAATTTAACTGTTTAAATTAATGTTTGGAATGTTATACAAACATAAATGAAAAATAACTTCTGTTCATATTCGAATAAAAGTTAATTTGTCATACTAAAGTATTTAGATTATCATCAGTAAGCTACCTTATCCTTATATGTAGATTCATCAGAAGTATAAGTATTTTTCTTCTTTAATAATAAAATTAACTTTCAATAAATTTTGCTCCAAATAATAAAGAATTCAGGTTTAAAATAATAATAGGTAACACTTCAGGCGAGACTATAACTTATGAACGAACCAATCAGGTATAAGTTAACAGGTCTCGGATTTTGGCGCGAAATTCACTCATCCATTATAGCTGATGTCAGTTCGTGATGAAAATCTTAAATCTAATTCCTAACCTTAACCATCAACTGTAAATCATAATTTTCAAATCTCACACTGGTTTATAATCCTCATTTGGTCCTGATTATTAGGTGGACACTCTTAGGGTCACTCCAGTGTCTCTGAAATGTCATCCATAAATTATAGTCTCACTACATTTTATATATCTGACTTTGAGGAATTTTTCGACAAATAGCTTAATTTCATGTGAGTAAAATTCTGAAAATAATATAATTTGATTTTCAATAGTTGAGATCATGTGTCAATTGAAGATAGACCACCATGGAAAAACTGAATGTACTGGATGGCAGTTTCGTTCTAATATGGGACGACCCAAACTTGCTCATCCACGATCCGGCAAGCGAGACGCGGAACCCAGGTCCTTAACCTCTAGACTACTGAGGAGTCCGTTTAGTGCTTCCGATTCTTCATTGATGGTCTAGTTTAGATCAAATCATGAATTCAACTATTCAAATTACTACCATCTCCACAAATCCTTATCCTGATAAAAATTAATTATTTTAAACTAATTTTGATTGAGACAATTTCTTGTCTTTACAATTGATTACAATAAGTAAATCAAGATATCTAGTACAAATATACTACTTGCACTTTCTGGGTACCACATTATACCATCTACTGCATCATCCATTGGTTGAAATAATTTCCCAACTTAAATATGTTCAAAATAATATTTTGAAAATTATAAACTTTCTTCAGCTTATTTAAAGTTTGACAGCAGTTCAATGTTATACATTAATATCACGTAACAGTAGACTGAAATCCTGATTATAATTTCTGATTTCTGTTTTGGCTGCAAAAATTTAACTTTATGATCTCAATTTATTAAATATACTGTTTGGCCATCTGGTCTTAACTGTAGGAAACACACTGTCTACAATTTGGTTTTAAAAAATTCAGTTAACTGCTCTTCTTTCAAGAACACCAACAAAAGGCTGATAGACTGGCAGTTATTCTAGGGAGTTATTTCTTTTTAGCCCTAAATAATCTCCAGTCGGTAGAAAAAAATATATAGCGAAAACCTTGAAAAGTTTTATGTTAGCTTGTCTATTTAGAATAGATAATGAGTAAGGCACTAAGTAATTGTCGTCTATTGTCCATTACGCTCTAACGAATATTTCAAAAACTACCAAACGCTTAGCCATTCAAGAATCAAAAACATCACTTTTTTCAGTTAGACAGACTGAATTTTCTTTTTAAAGGTCGCTTATCTAACCATTTCAATCTACTCATCAAATAGTAAGAACCAAGATGTCCTGGTACGGTTGAGGGTGGAGAGAGTCAGCTCTTCCTCTTCAGATGCTCTCACATGGTCACGCGTATAAACTCACTACCAGGGAAGTTATACTCACTACCTTCTCGTGGCATTACTGTTGTTTACGAAATTGAGAGGACGAAAAGTGAATGTCCGACGCTTTAACTGGGTTGGTGGATATGGAGAATCTACCTAGGGGAGTTGGTTAATCCTGATTCCAAACCAATGGTGCACATAGGCTCCAGGATCCTGAAGGAACAAATGGCGTATGAGCCAATTATTGGTCACCAACTACCATGGAACTGCATCTCCTGATGTTGGTCCACTGACTTGTGGATCGGAACTTTGGTTCTAAGGCTCGAGGAGTGTCCCCCTAAGAAAACCACCTGCTTCATTTCGAGCAACCGGAAAGTATCCCAGCCTTTAAACAAATCGAATGACGAAATGTGACGCATATATATATATATATATATATATATATATATATATATATATATATATATATATATATATATATATATATATATATATATATATATATATATATATATATATATATATATATGGTATTTTACTGCATCGGTTAACTAAATTGAAACACATGATGTCTGTATACTATATTTTTCCATATATTTTATCAAATCACTTAGTGTTTTTCTCACTCTTAAATAAATAGCATTTGTTCAACTCGTTAACGTTACATTTTGACCATCTATCTATCATTTCGTTTCTCAGTTATATACCTACATAAATCAATACAGATTTAACATTGCACTAATGTTAGCTTCACCGCCCACATATTTATGTTGTATAAGCTCATTTGACTAAATTCTAATTCAACTTGGTCCAACCCACTCATTGTCTGCTCCGGATTGTTTAGTTTTATTAATAATTTGCACTTTATTATAACAATCTATTAAATGTGACTTCAATTTTTGTTGATTATCAAACAGCTTCATTCTTTTTCCTTTTGTTTTTTACTACTTAATACACACAAGTAGTTTAGTTTATTCAATTTAATGTTATATTTTTTTATTATGACATCTCACAATTCATTTAAATTTGCATTTCGAAATTTCGGTTTATTTTAAGAATTGCAATAACATTAATTCCTCGCTTTGGCTAGCACTTTTGGGCGCCCTACTCTTTGAAACTTGTCTCGTGTTGGATTTTTGTCGAAGTATTGTTAAGTACTGAAACTCTCGTTTCACCAGCTATAATAATACGTAGTGCAATGTTATTTTGACCAGTTCTTTCTGGAATGTGCATCTTAATAAGATTAAAAGACTATAATCTAGTGTTTATGAATCATCATAGAGTCTTTTTACTTCCTACGATATTACAGTAGCCTTATCCTATTTTTTTATATTCAAGGATTTCAATTATTTTTAAGTCTTTGTGTTGAAATCTGTCTACGGTTTTCATAGTGAATAGGCGCCCAAATATTTTGTATACCAGTTTACAGGGCTGTTATCTCTTCATTTATCCACAGTGATAATATGCATTAAGTGAACAAAACGAACAATGGTAAAATGTATATGTATTTACGTGAACACCTTGGTATGTTTATCAAATTACAAGTTATTTCTTTATTACAATTAACGACACCTAAAGAAAAAGCAATAATTATCGCAACATTCACGACTTCGTAAACAAAATTTGCCTTTATCTAAACATCTTACACATGTACCAGAAAAGGGTGCTTTCAAATCACATACTGTTGTATCACAGCATCTTTGACCAAATGGTAATTTACGACAAAATGTCCCAAGATTTTTACAAGGTGAATTATTTTCTCTCCAAAATTCACTTGAAGTACATATAACTGGAAAGAAAAGAAAAAAACATTTTTATACACTAAATTACTTATTATCACAAATAGAAATAGAGATTTTTATGAAAAAGCTACAGCTGATGGTGATTGTATGATTGGATGTTCATTACGATCTTGGACTGACAGTGAAAGTGAAAACCATATAACAAAATTTGCATTGAGGTACCAGTGATTCGTTTTTAAAAGAGCTCTGCAAGTTTTAATGAGTAATATTGTTCGATGAAGCTCAATTTTGTCATGATATTAACAGATATTAGTAACAGTATTGGAGACGATTGAGTATTATAACAAACTGGGCTATTTAAGAAATTGCTTGTTTCCGAATCAGTTTCCCTGAGTGTTAATTACAAAACCTATCGAATAGTAAGACAACTATATAAAGACTATAGAGGTAAAGATCCCATTTTTTAAGTAAAAGGATATAAGCAAGTTAATGAAATTATCCTACTGTATTTATTTAACTTGATATAGACTGATGCTAAGTTAGATTTCGAAACCTTTTCTGAATTCCATTTAATCAGCCTCAGATTGTCAAAAGTTTTTGTTATAACTTGTGGTTTTGTACCTTTGGTTCTTTGTTTTTTACCCTGTCGCCAATTGTTATAACGCTCGGTTTTACTTTGTCTAATGTTATAACAGTTAGGTTTCAACGTTTGCACGTATAGGACGTTAATTTACCTTAGACGAATATCTACACTAGATTCCCTCCCGGTGTCTATTCTGCAAGACTTCAACACAACTGAGATCAAGAACACGTGATTAGCCTGACCACAACGTAAATGTATTTCCACGCCAAGACCCGACACAATCCAACAACAATTAACAATCAATAATAAGTGAGTAATAACAATAATAATAATAAGGATAAGGGAATATATAACTCATCTGACACCTGTCAGACTATCCACATATCTGACTAAGTAGACAACTAACCATTATCATCCTCGGCCACACATCAGTTTTATTTTTACGTTCAGTCATGTAAACTCAATTAAAGAAATCTGTCGAATTCATCCATGTGAGGTCTGTGAATCTTCTCTCTTCACTCAGACTTCTTGAACGTTGTGTTAGAACAGATAAGTAAATGGAATTATTCAGTGTGTAGTATTGTGGTGTGTGCTACTTATATTGGCATAAGTAGTAGATGATGTTAGTCGTGAACAGAAGGTCTGACAGCAGAGAGACAAGAGGATCGAACAGTGAAGAGTCGAAACAGAATGCAATTTGTATGAAAATGCAGCAACAATGAAGTCTGAGTCATTTTGAGACAACTCATAGACATTTTGCAAATTAATAATTTACTTTATGATTGATAGATTTTATTAACAAGTTCTGTAATTTTGTGTTAAATACATTCGATTGTCCCTACTGGTGTTCGTGTTCACTACAGTATTACCAGGGTTTGACTTGATAATTTCAAATGAATGATATTAATCAAATAATGATATATTTTTTATATTCCAATTAATAGAAATCAGGGATTTCCACGTTTTCCAACTTGATTCAAGCTACATTCTTAGAAACCAAATGAATTTATGTTCGGTTATTTTTTACTTATCTACCCTCTGATGAAGCAGCTTAAACTTAGTTGCGAAACGTCAGAAATTCTCATTTATATTCATTAGGCTATCACAAATATTTCGTTAACTTATTGTGTAAGATTGTTCAGTTTAATTGTAGACAGAAGGTTTAAGTTTTATTGATAAGCAAGGAATTTTGAGAGATTTAGTCGAGCTAGAACTCAATAGTTGGTAGAGAGTATCGGAAAAACATAATATTAATGTTTGTAATTAATCCTACTTAATTCTAACATTTTTAATCTTCCTCGACTTCTTAAGCATCGACTTTTTCGTTTTCATTGTTTTAGACAATATTTTTTGAGTTAGATTCAATGATTCAGTTTGCTTTGAATTAATAATACTTTGACTATGAGGCAATATCAACATTCATGTATCGGAACGGAGGTTGAAGAAATGGTAACTCCTAGAACTATCGTATAGATTATTACTTTATATTTTTTTCATAATATAATCATTAAGTAGGTTGATTACTATGTGTATACATGTTCCATTTATCATGAGCTATCTTTAAACCATTTACCTATTGCTATAGGATTTACTATTCTTAATTTGTTGTCATTCCACCAATTACAACTTGTACTATTCTGGGCCACTTTAGGCTATTTTATATGTAATTGTTGTTTTTGCTTTTTTTGGTTTGAAGCGGTTCAGTATGTTTACACATTAATCCAAATGTTTGAAACATAATAGAGGTGATGTTTGCTCTTGATTATTTAGACTCAAGACAGGGAATAGAGAAGGGATTGCAGATAAGGAACCACTCAGAACATAACAACATCAGCTCATGGTCAACAATGCTAGTCAGGTGTATGATTGGTCATGTTATAGGTATTATGTTATAATAAAAATAGTAGACAAGAAATATAGAACATCAGAATTAGAATTCATTTTCTTTACTTTATCATGTGATTTTGGTCAGTGGTCTTAGGATACAGCAGATATTATCATATTAACTCAAATCTGTCATAAAAACACAGCTATAAGCATATTTTCTGAGCACTTACATAAATGAACTAAAGCGTGTTGTTTATTCTCTATATTTCATGAATTTATTAAACCCAAATAAAATTACATAACTTAGTAATTGTTTTAGTAAACTGTAAATGAAACAAAATCACTTAATTATGAAACAGTATGATGTTAAATGGAGTTTTGTTCGATGAGCTGAATGGTTTGAAGCTTTTATCATTCTTCTGAATGACAAACTTCAAGTACAAGTCCTTCTATCTAGTTCAAAGAACAGAACTTCAATAAAACCATCTATGTGAACTATAAATCTTCTCCAACCTCTCATAATCTGATATAAATTAAGTTTTAAATTTAAAATTGAATAAATAATTTAATCTTGTGAAAATTTAGGAAATTTACACAGATTTATGAATAAATTTTATTAAATATGGAGTAATACACTACTTTTAAATAACTTTACAAGATTACCAAATTGGTTATATAGTTGAATATGAAATTAACTAAATGGAGATTGTAAACTTCATTTACATTAAACAATATTTAAATTGAATAATTTATCTGTTTTTCTCTGTTATATGCTAAAAAGATTGTTAAATTATGTCGACAATAACTATTATTATCAGAAGGGGTTTCGTGGAGATTTTAGAAATCTCACTGATTGAAAACACAGTTGGACGCCGGCTCAGTGGTCTAGTTGGCTAAGCACCTGGCGCGAGACTGATAGTGCACTGCTGAGTCCCATACTAGAACGAAACGGCAGTCCAGTGTTTCCAGGTTTTCCATGGTGGTCTAACTTCAATGAACTGATGATTTCAATCAGTGAAATAACCATTATTCATCTTTGTTTAGAATGCTTATGAATTAAGGTAATATCAAGGCAAAACACACAATATACAAGTATGTTAATAAGAGATTAATCAATTTCAGTTCTAAATAACAATAAGAAGATAAAAGTAAAACAATATCAAGTGAATTGAAAATTCACCCCATTGCACAAGGAAGTGGCCATCAATACTCAATAGTTAAGTCGATAACACGATGATGTTTGAAGTGTACAGTACTGGGTTCAAGTCTCGGAATGAACATCAACTATGAGGTACAGGTACATCCAGCTGATGAGTCATAAATAGGAAGAAACGCGCGTCCTGGATCCTACGGCTTACTACTACCCATCTTTGTTTAGAACACCTGTGAATTAAGATAATATCAAGGCAATATGCACAGTATGAACGTATGCTAATAAGATACTGATCAATTTCAAGTTCTAAACATTAATGAGAAGATTCAAGTAAACAATATCAAGTGAATTTAGACATGTTTACGTTGGACAAATTCATTTATTGTAAAAATATGTGGTCACACATTAGTTCACTTAGAAAAATGAATAAAAACACAATAATAATAACACTTTTTGATGTCAGCATTATTAACTTATCACAATATGATAACACCGAGATCAGCATATTATTCATTGAGAATATGCTAATTCAATTATGAATTTAACAATTTTACATAAAAGAAATGACCGAAAGTAATTTTTTACTCAGCTTGTACTTTCAGTTTGTTTGTTTGTTGTTGTTTTTTTGTTTAAACAGATTTAGTTGTCATCTTTACAATCATAAACTGCTTACTTAACTCTTTGATTGAAAAATAACGTATAAAAGAAAATAAATGTGATTGTCAGTGGTTAAAGAATCAAGTTTCTTTTCGTGAATTAGTTGTAAACCTTACATCTCTAAGAATAGATTACTCAATGAATGAAGGCATACATTGTAAAGTGTATAAACTTGTCTTTACATTAAACTAATCTGATTACTTTATATAGTGTAATTCAATTAGTGAAGTATAAATTATGATCATTCAATCTGAATCATAATAATAACGAAAATCAGTGAACAGTTTTATGGAACTTTATGCTACAGTATAGCTAAAATGATAGTTATACTATCATTGTATCTAAATTTTTGTATACATAATTAGATCAGTCATTGTACAATTTAAATATGAATGTTTCTCTACTCATTTTATTCAGATAATGTACAATTTTAGTGATTTCAGATATCTGATATTACGTTTAGCAATTGTGTTAAGTTTGAGTAGAAATTTTCTGAAGTAAATTTTGATTATAAACCAAGTACACTATAATATACCGATCTGTTCATACTTAGTTACTCTGATTTATTTCATAACTGTTGAAGGAAAGTGAATAATTAAAGTTTAAAAAAAAGTAATTAACCAGTTTTACTATAAAAGTTTATTGTTGTTATACGACTACACTTATGCTTCAGGAGAAAAAGTCAATATTTACAGGAAACTTTAGTTGACCAACTTAATTTCTTCACAAAGAACGATCATTGAACAAAGCATTGGCTTCAACATAATATAGCACTAAGCTTCCTTTATTTAAATTCACTTTTCCTATTTGATATTTATGTGTATACAAATTAACCGTCGATAGAATAAAGAATAAGATATGAGTTTGGAAAAGGAACTTAAAATATCACATCTGCCATCAACTGGTTACCATTATATTGTTTTCGTCTTTTATTCACAATTGATTGATCACTGAGTGGTGATCAATGTCATATGTATCAGGTCCTTCTTAGTGCAGATCAAATGCTATCGACCAAGTTGAAATGTGGCCACTAGTCTAAGTGACTCGACATTGCGTGTCCTATGTTGAAATAAGATAGTGGTTGACGATAGTCAACAGAAAACCCTGAACTCGGATTTCGTACTATTTGGCACTCGTCATCAAGGTGTACCTGTAATCTTGGGGAAACTGGTGTTCCCTGACGGATTTGATTCAGTGCCAGCCAGCTTCACCGTCAGAGACGTTACTATCGGGCTATCCGGACCGCGACTGACCTCCTGTAAAACTAAGATGTATTCACAATTGATTTATCACTGAGTGGTGATCAATATCATGTACGCTAGATTCTTCTTAGTGAAGATCGAATGCTATCGACTTTTTATGTAAAGTGATTTCAAATATTAAAATATACTAAGTAAAACAAATTATATGAAATCAGGTATTCGTAGACTAAACTTTTAAAGTAGAACTGAGCCTTCTGTACTATACTTAAGAATACTACTAACTACTTATTTACAATCATATGAACTAACTATAAGAAAACTTTTTATGGATTGAAAAATGTAATAAGATACTATACATTTTAATGAATTGGCAGTCAGTGCTATTTGGATGAACTAATTAAAATTAAACATTGTTATTTAGATCGGTTTATATTTACATGTTATTAGACAATATTATCCTAAATCTATAAACAATGTAATTTAAATCATTTGATTTCATTTGATTATATAAATGACAAATAATATCAATGATACATTTCTAATTGATAAAAGATCATAATAGATCACCTATTTATCTATAGGATGTCCCATATATTATACCATAAGTGTATTACGTAATTAAGGTTATTATCAATAAACTTTTACTAAGAAACTAAATACTGATATTTCGTGAATCTGTTATATAAATAAATATCAGAAGGGGTTTTGTGGATACTTTAACAGTTGAGATCATGAGCTAATTGAAGCTAGACCACCATGGAAAACTTGAAAGCACTGGATGGTCGCTTCATCTCACTGTGGGGCTCCTCAGCAGTACGCATCCAGGATCCCGCCTCGCGAGATTCGAACCCAGGACCTATCATTCTCGAGCGCGAGTGTTTAACTATTAGGCCACTGAGCTGGCCAGCATCTAACGGTGTTAATGGTTAACTTCAACTAATCCATGAAATTAAGCGACACATCCACCATTGTCATCAGTGAGTTACTATCTCACAAGTGACCCGGTTGAACTCCACTGGTCACTACTTCTCACTAGAATTCCAAGAAATACCTCTTGGAGACCGTCATTTGTGAGCATATGTTGTTTAGTATCAGAAGGGGTTTTGTGGATATTATAGTAATTTTGATAATTGAGATCATGAAACGGCCAGGTTTTCCATGATGGTCTAGCTTCATCTGACTCATGATCTCAACTACTAAAATATGAATAAATATTGAAAAATCTAACTTGATCAATTAATCTCCATGCAAGTTTATAACATTCATTAAAATTTTGTAACATTATTATAATGATACAATGAATTTCTATTAACTATTTACTAATTTCCAATGAACTATCATCCTCTGATAATAGTGCTTTACTCAACTTTGTATTAAGCTAATATATGTATATGTCATAGGGAAAATAAAAATCGTATTTGTGACCTTTCGTAACTTAATGTAAGCCATTTTTCCAGAGTAAATAACTAATCGAATCAAATCGACACGAATTTCAATAGTACAAAGTAAACAATGACATTAAGTTACGAAATGTCAGAAATACAATTTTATACTTATTGGGATTTCACGGTATATGTATATACATGTTATATCCTAGCGAAGATTAAATTATGGGTAACTTATGAGAGTTATTAGTGGATTAATATTATACATATGTTCTTATTGTATAACTATTGAGTAACTAAATTATGCATATTTATATTCCTCTTATTATAAGCTTTGTTTTGACTTATAGACTATTATTATACGATTTTCTGTTTTTAGGTTATGTTCAGTTGATTAATTACCATCTCAAATGATCACGGCCACTTGCGAGCTTGATCTTATACGAATGTTATTTCCTATTTTATGGTGTGATGTGGTCTATCTGGCTTGTATATAAACCAGGTATGGTTGAAATAAATGATTCGTATAGTGGAAGCTGTCATTGGTGTACTGGACTCAACTGGCAAGGCTAGGAGAAAAACAGACCAATAAGAACGCTAGACTGCTCATACCGGTCGTTGGTTTGGTACAGTGCTAAGATTGTATAAGTCCTGTTCCGATTGGTGAATAAGTCATGTGATAATTAACCGGGCTTAAAGTCATAACAATATTTTATATACATATCATAATAATGTATTACCATTGATCCCATGTCAAATGAAGTTGAAACAAATTGTCATATCTTCATTATTTAGTATAAGTTGAAGAGCGATACTATAATCCGGAGCCATTAATTTCTTCATTAAAGATTTGGGAGTAAATGCTTTGACTGATTAATTGTATAGGATAACGTAGTTCTTTTTGGAGTAGTTAGAAAGCAATCATTCACATTTCAGTGACCAGATCAGATTTTAAGAAACTTTCAATCTACGGTACTTTAGCTTAAGAACAATTATTGAAATGTTTTGGTCACAAATTAATTACCCTTATTTGAAAAATGAAATTCGAATCCAGTAACTGAAGAATTTCTACCTATAAAGGTACTGAACATACAGTTTGTAATGTGTTAAAACTAAACCCGATGTATCATCTACCTTGATATGTATTACTGATCAGAATGTAAGCTCATCACTTATTACCTAATATATAAGAACGAACTCCAGTTATCACAACCAACACCACAGAGGTGGATTTACACACTACACCTTCAAAAAACTCCTTTTCTTATTTCGCTATTATCGTACATTTCTTCAAGTTTCGAATAATACTGGTCGTTCCACCTACTAGTTTAGTCAGTTTTGTATCAAGTTAGTCTGATGTGATATTTGTACGAAGTAACGATTCCTCTGTACTTGATTGCCCGCTGATTACGAATTACAAATATAATATGTACATTTCAGCTTATCTAGTTCTAACTGCCTTAAATTGCACTATTTCGGGAATTCTTAGCAAATTAATTCACATACTTCTAATTATCATATCTGAGTAACTTGCACATTATGTTCTTGATTATTTAAACTTTCAAGCATCCTTTATAGTGGAAGTTTACGTAGAATTATGATACCTGTTGAAGTATGTTAACATCCGATATCCAAATACAGATATCAGCACTCCAGAAAGAAGTAGAATACTTCAGACATAACCAACTTCTTAGTATATTAATCAACTGTGAGATCTGATTTTGTTCAGTCTGTAATTACAGATCAAATAATTGAAGAAACGTTCTGACTACATAACCCGTAAAATTTTGCGAACGCGTACGCTGTATACTGAATAACTGTAAAAAGTACTCAAGTCCAAATCTATAAAGTTTTAGGTGAACTATTTTATGATACATTTAAGGCACTTTTTAAGCTAGATGGCGATAGGTTTTTGGTAAAATAAGTATGTTATTAATTACAGTTAAAGTTAATGTCCTGAACATTTTGCGGAACAATAAAATTTACTCACCTTTGCCGAATTCAAAAATGAACCATATAATAACAGTATCAATGATGGATTACAGTTTACAAATGAATATACTTACATACTACGATAATGATAAAAATACCGTTCCAAAATAACCCGATTCTTCTCGTAAGTGTCATAATGATATATTCGGTTTCAAAACCACAAAACTATTACATATATATATTGTTTAGTTTACATGTAAACTAATTTATGCACATGATTGTGATTTACAGGCTTGATTTCGGTCATTGACAGTCACAAAATGCCTTCGCATTATACACAAACACACAACACAACCCCATATATATATATATATATATATATATATATATATATATATATATATATGTCATAGTGAAAAGGAAAATCGTATATATATGTCTGAGATGAAAAACGTTCGACTAGACGCTCCAGATTGTCCTGTTGACTAAGATGACCGACAAAATAATGACCATATTTTACTGCTGTAAATAACAAAGAGATGCAAACAATCTCTTCAGACGGAGCAATTTAGAATTTACTTGCATTTAATAAAGCAAACAAGTTGACAGGACCGTATGAAAATAATTCACCACATATGCAAGTGACTGGAAATTCAGTAGGGACAAAAGGTCAAATCGTAAGTTCAAATGTATGGGAAGCCAATGTTATAAGAATACCGCTACTGAAATTGTTCTATCGAAAAATAACATGTTCATACACCGATGACTGGTAGGTTGAGCAAGAGAAAAATTCCACTGTCTGATACTAGTTCACCATAAATGTATTGGATTTTGCTATGTGTACGGCCAGTGTAACAACACTGAATTCTAGATAAATCGATTTGTCAAACTGAGCGTATTCCAATATTGGATGACTGGTTACTGGACATTAAGTTGTTTATTGAAATTCACCAAAGTCAACAGAGGCTAACTCTGATTAGTGAATAGATGATTTAGTAGATTGTGGCTCACTTGGCAGCTTCATTATAGCCAGTCTACATTGCATCCTTTCCATCTGTTCTTCCAAATAAAACATTCACCTAGTGGGACCTAATTTTGGAACAAACTAGATAAGCAGTATAGTCTACTCACCAGTTTAAGGTGGACTGTGATGCTGAACCATTGAATAGTATAGCTCAATACACTACTACAAAGCTGAGCAACTACACTCTTCAAGTTAACTGCAGAGTGGCGATGAGATTAATAGTTTGGCAACAAATGTACACTCATTACATAGATATTAGTCAAAATTTTACAAATATTCAAGTAGATATTTACTCAGTTTGGTTTTGGCGACATTTCAGCAATTCACAATAGTTATATCTTCAAGAGTTAGATATAAATCTTCCCAGCCAAATGACTATCCAGATAACTTAAAGCCCACTATGGTTGATTAAATTAGCCTACTTGAAATACAAATCTTAATGTAGTTTCAGATCACCTTCGCCCCCTATAAAACAATGTGTTTCATTAAGTCAAACTATTTAATCAATTACCTGTAAGTGCTGAAAATTAATCACAACTGAAAAGAATATTGTGAGGTGAATAATTAATACAGCTACTGTAAAATTTGATATCTTATGTCATGTTTTGATTGGTTATAATAATACAATGCAATTTCATTCATCCTACTTCCAGTCCGGTTTCATTATTACGTCTTGTTGAAATTATGACCTATTTGCGATTATCGTAATTCGTCAGACTGTTCAAATTCACAATATAATGTGTCGCGAAATTTCATCATTTGATTTAAACCAAGCAGTTAATTAATGCATGTACATATATGTTTTTATATAGTTTACATGGTTTATTGATTTATTGCTACCAGTACGGTTAACTAGTTTCCGCTCATAATATACCATACATATAAGCCAATTTATTGACACCTAAGGTATTTCTCTTAATTAGTCAATGTAAAACGTCATTACTGTCATGTTCAGAAAGTGGTTGTCTGATTTCTGTTGATTGACAGACGATTTTATTAGGTCATCTGCCAACCTGAAGACTTTTAGAAAGAAATATCAGTGAATAATAGAATTATTATAAATTCGAAAATGTTGTTACAGCAAGAAAGAAATACATGCGCCTGAATTTTACTTTTCCCACATTGTCCCGTTCATTCATGTGAGAAGCTGAACATGTCTATTTCTCATTTTCTAAACTATCTGTCTTTTGAACTTGTCAGTAGGTGCTATATATCTAGTCCAGTTAATGTTACTATATGCATAAATGAATATTTAAAGACAGTTGGTAGCTCAGTTGACATCGGATTTGTGGTATACAGCGGTCATTAATTGTTTATTGTGTTTTGCCAATAAATATGAAGTGTCTTACATAGAAAGGTGTCTATAACACCTGCGTAAAACATAACAATAGGCAGGAGAAATATTTATTTATTGAGAGAAGTTAATAAGTATTTACATAATGCATAATACATAGTCTACAGTTGTCCATTTGTATCTTCTAGTGTGTTCTAAAATCTGAACTGTCTTCGCAACTGGCATCAAAGTGTCCTGCCAACATCGTGCTTTCGATGCACAGAAACTCACTACTTTGTCAGACAACTGTTGCAACTTTGACACCAACTTCCGTTAAACACTACTCGCAAACAACCTTGTGAGTAGCGTCCACTACACTTGTACTTTTTGATTATGACTGTGGTAGCTCTTTAAATTTCAGATTCACACAATAGAAATGTTTAAACGTCGATGTTGAAGTTTCTGATGTTTTTATAGGTTTGAATTTATTTAAGGTTGCAAATATTCTTCAGTCATTTGAATGCAGCTCTTGCTTTGGGAATTCGTGCTTTCATGTGTGCATCAGATTCATCTTGTATTTTGTGATACTACGCAGATACGTGGATCTGTTCACCTCTCCTTGAGCTTCATAACTAAGTGTGATTTAGTTGGCGCTCACTGCGTTGTGCTCTGTTGTCTTCTTTCTTCCGCGTAAATGCTGATATCTAATTCTATTCAATCAGGTGTTACCTTGACTGTGCATCCTCGTATTTTTTCCTATATATGTGATAGAAAAGCTGGGTCAGGTGTAAAGTCCACGTCATCGCATCGTGTCCATATTGTTCACCATATTCCGTGCTTCACTTGAGATGTAGTAGTCTTCACAATTCAGTCAACAGATAGCATAAGAAGAGAAAGAGCTAGTAAACTACACTGTATGACACTAGTCCTCGCACAAAATCCACCTTTAAACTTTCTTCTGCGTATGAAATTACAACTAATTTCCTCGAGAACGTTTCGCATGATAATAGTTATCCTCCTAGATACAATTCAGTGTTGTAGGTCATTCCGCAAGGTCCCCTTAAACACACTTTTAAATGCTAGCCCAAAATCAACGAGGTTAATGTATATGATGAATCCAAGCAGTGATCAGAACTGCTGATATTCGGTCGGCCCATGTTTGGCTCTCCTAAAGAACAGCCTGTTGATTTCAAAGCTGGGTGTCTGTTGAACATTTCAACAACACTGTCAAAACCTTTACCCGATGATACAAAGCTAGTTAATCTTCTTTCTTTGTTCTTTAGTCTTCTATAAACCTCCTAAACCTCATTTCCTTTTAATCCAATAAAATACCTAGGCCCTAGTGTAAAATGAGATAAACCACACTTAAAACATACATACGCAAGAAGTTCTGAAAGTAGAAGAGGACAATAAATAAATAGTGCTACTTATTAAGATCAGCTGAACTAGTATATGTACCTGGTGCTGAAAGTAAAAACAAAGGCATATGACTAACATTGTTTTTGTATGGTATATGTCAATAACTGTGACACAATTATTGATGGACGAATCAATCAGGTTGAAGAAAGCAAGCCGTATAAGTTGTCACGAAATTCATTCATTCATTTGGTTGTACACTCTGAAAATAAACCATACTCCTGTTCATAACTTCGACAGTCCAGTCAGCGACCAGTCAGAATTAAGCAGGAATTATCATCGCAATCATTTTTGAAAGCAATGGAAGTTGGCTTACTTTATTCTGTTAGTTCTTCCGCTAGCAAATGTTATTGACCCAGTAGTTAATATTTCAGTGTGAAAAAATCCCTTAATTTATGTGATTTTGTAAATGTCGAATTTGTTTTTTTTCGGATCGGTTCTTTTCTCGGTTTTCGCTATTACTACTGCTACTACTACTTAGGTCAGTGTATTCTTTCCGCCATGCTCAAGTGTTTTGCTTGATAACGTGTTAATGCATTTTGTTTTGAGCATCTTCTTGTAGCTCGTCGTCTCTCTTAGATCTTATATTCACACACAGTGATGTCAGTCAAATAACTTTCTTCCCACCTCTTGGAAGAAGAGATTGCGCAATCATCTTATTCAAGCTCATGACTTAGACGATCTGCCAAACAGTTGCGCGGGCCCGTCCTAACATATGGTAGGAGGACATGAGGGTGATAAACCCTGTAGTATCGACTGGAAACTGAATCATTGACTCAGAGGTATCAGTAGAGGAGGTATGAACTCATTTCCCGCAGTTATATAATCAGGTAACTCAACCATTTGTAACCTGAACAGCCCCAAAAAAGAAGCACGTCCACCCCTGGACAGGCCAAGATATTCAACGTCTACTAACACAAAAGGTGTATTGGAACGTTGTTATCAACCTAGGCACGGCAAGTAGGATGTAACGCTACACGTCGGTAAGAGATAAATGCATAATGAAAATATGGGAAGCTCAGAAAAAATATGGAAAACAGTTAGCACAATCTGTAATCAAGCAGCTTATGAGAATATTTTCGTACGCAAACTAAAGAACAAGAATGCGGCATTGGTTTCCCAACCCAATTACAGAAGGGAATGGATCTAAAATGATAGAGAGTGATCAGGAAAGAGCAAAGATTATGGTAAACTATTTCTGATTGACTGGTCTGAATAGTGGTTGACGCCTATCAACATGGCAAAATGTGTGTACATGCACTTTGGGGATACAAAGGTAAATGGGTACAACAAAGAGGAATCCTCTGTACCCGTGGTTCGGTCTCGCAAGGATCTTGAGGTCACGGTGAGTCGCAATCTTAAGATACTACCCTGTTTACTACAGTATGCACAACCTTAATGAGAACTGAGCCAGACTGAAAGCTTCTGTTTCAAAATTGACTCGGATATCTTGGAAAAAGGACAGAGGGCAGCTACCCGTGC